GTACGTGGGGGCGGAACGGCCCCAGAGCAGAACAATTGAGGTGCCCCTCCCCTTCTGTGGGCCCCTGAGCTGAAGGCCTACAGAACAAGTAGGGAATGTCACTGCTAGAATGGGGGCAGCTGAAGGGGCCTGGGCAGCCTGGAAGGGAGAAGTCTTGGCGGGGAGAGAACAAAGGTTCATTAAGAATGCCTAATTCTTGTGAAAAGGCGAGGGGACAGGAACAGGGATCCACCTGGTTCAGTGAATGGCAAGGCTAGGGAAGGGCCACACCCCTCCCTCTCAGCCACCTGGGCAGAGAGTGAAGCTGGCTAGCAGTGGCCGCCAGTGTCTGCTGTGGGGAGAATGAGGGTCTTGCATTCACCTTAACATGGATGTCTCCTTAAGTAATGGTGAGGCCGCTGGGTGTTTAGGGTGGGAGGTGAAGATTGTGTTTGGGTGAGAGGGAGGTCCAGCCATCCCACGGGTTTGCTGATCAGCCTCAGAGTTTAAGGTCTTCTTGCCCGGACTAGAAGGGTACCTGCAGAGACGGGACACTGGCCTTTGGTACTTCTGGCTAGTCTGAGATGGCATTGCCTCTGGGCACAAGACCATGCAAATGAGGGAGGGGAAGAGAAGTAGGCAGGAAAGAGAGAACAATTGCTAGTGTGGGTTGTATGGGTACGCAGGAGGGGGGCTTGCACTGACTGCCTCTTTTTGCCCCTCCTTCTCAGGCCCAGTGCCCGCAACATGGCACTGCCTCGGACTCTGGGGGAGCTGCAGCTGTACCGGGTCCTGCAACGTGCTAACCTCCTTTCCTACTACGAGACCTTCATCCAGCAGGGAGGGGACGACGTGCAGCAGCTGTGCGAGGCTGGCGAGGAGGAGTTTCTAGAGATCATGGCACTTGTGGGCATGGCCACCAAACCTCTACATGTCCGTCGCCTGCAGAAGGCACTGAGAGAGTGGGCCACCAATCCAGGGCTCTTCAGTCAACCTGTGCCAGCTGTGCCTGTCTCCAGCATTCCGCTTTTCAAGATCTCTGAGACTGCGGGTAGCCGGAAAGGGAGCATGAGCAATGGGCATGGCAGCCCAGGGGAAAAGGCAGGCAGTGCCCGCAGTTTTAGCCCCAAAAGCCCCCTTGAACTTGGAGAGAAGCTATCACCACTGCCAGGGGGACCTGGGGACCCCCGGATCTGGCCAGGACGGAGCACTCCAGAGTCAGACGTTGGGGCAGGAGGAGAAGAGGAGGCAGGCTCTCCCCCCTTCTCCCCACCTGCAGGGGGAGGAGTCTCTGAGGGGACTGGGGCTGGGGGGTTGGCAGCAGGTGGGGCTACAGGTGGTCCAGACAGACTGGAGCCAGAGATGGTACGCATGGTGGTGGAAAGTGTGGAGAGGATCTTCCGAAGTTTCCCCAGGGGGGATGCTGGGGAGGTCACATCCCTGCTGAAGCTGAATAAGAAGCTGGCACGGAGCGTGGGGCATATCTTTGAGATGGATGATAATGACAGCCAGAAGGAGGAGGAGATCCGCAAATACAGCATCATCTATGGCCGCTTTGACTCCAAGCGGCGAGAGGGCAAGCAGCTTAGCCTGCATGAGGTGAGGACCCAGGGCCAACCAGGAGTGCCCTTGACTCCCAGGCCTCAACCCCCTTATCTCTGAGAATTCTTACATTCTCCAACTCTGTTTCATTGCCCCTTGGCCACACCTCCAGGCCCTGGCCCCTCTCTCCCACCCAACCCCAGCTGCTGAGGGGGAAGCAGATACAGGTGAGAGCCCAGCTGCACATCTCCATGTCACTTAGGACCCCACAGGAGTGGGGGTGGCCCCGGGCATTCTTCGGAAGCTGTGGGTGCTGATCTCTGTCTTCCTCCCTCCAAAGCTCCTGTGTAGTGTTGTAACCAAAGGCAGCCTCCACTGGGTGGGCCTCCCCTGTTTGGTGGTGAAGAGGTGTGAGGAGGACATCTGTGAGGCAGTACGGTTCTGACTGTTCTGGCTGCCCCCTCTCCACAGCTCACCATCAATGAGGCTGCTGCCCAGTTCTGTATGAGGGACAATACACTCTTACTGCGGAGAGTGGAGCTCTTCTCCCTGTCCCGCCAAGTGGCCCGAGAGAGCACCTACTTGTCCTCCCTGAAGGGTTCCAGGTGAGACCCTTTCCCCAGGTCCTTTCTAGGTTGGAATCCTGCCAAGGAGTTCAATTCCATCCTAATCTCCAGCTCAGGTGGCTCTGGGCCTGCTTCCCATTCACTTGCATGTCCAGCTTCTGACTAAACCAGCTTGTCTGAGATCAAGTCTCTCCCCCTTTTAGGTTCCCCCAGCCTCCCACAACAATAGTGCTTGAAGTAGAAACTCTTATCCAGCTATCTTTTTTGCAAAGTTTTTAAATAATGCATGCCCCTGTCCAGATGCTGTGCCCTGCTCATCAGGTGGCCCTCCCCAGCCTCACCATTCTTTGCATTTGTTGGCGCCCTACCCTTTTGAACCACAGGCGCCACCCACCTTTGCATTCTTTATCTCTTTGCAGGCTCCACGCTGAAGAATTGGGAGGCCCCCCACTAAAGAAGCTGAAACAGGAGGTGTGTTTTCCAGGGTACATGTAGGGAGGCAGGGCATTCTTCCCCCACCTTATTCCTTACCAGATCCTCATTTCCCAATTTGGGACATCCACAGGTTGGAGAACAGAGTCACCCTGAAATCCAGCAGCCTCCCCCAGGCCCTGAGTCCTACGTACCCCCATACCGCCCCAGCCTGGAGGAAGATAGTGCCAGCCTGTCTGGGGAGAGTCTAGATGGACACTTGCAGGGTATGTCTGCAAACACTTCTTTCTTTACTGGGAACAAGAGAGGGTTGGAGGGGGGTAGGAGTGAACTAAGAGGCAACTGCCTGGAACAGGGTTGGGAGGCCTGGCTGGATGGGGGCAGAAGGTTCTATGGGTCTGGCTGTGTGGTTGAGGGGGGGTTCCCTTGGCTGCTGCCCTTTGCCTGACCAGTGCCCATGCCCACAGCTGTGGGGTCATGCCCAAGGCTGACGCCGCCCCCTGCTGACCTGCCTCTGGCATTGCCAGCCCATGGGCTATGGAGCCGCCACATCCTGCAGCAGACACTGATGGACGAGGGGCTGCGGCTCGCCCGCCTCGTCTCCCATGACCGCGTGGGCCGCCTCAGCCCCTGTGTGCCTGCAAAGCCACCTCTCGCAGGTGAGGCAGCCAGCAGTGCTGTCCCCAAGCACCCCAGCCACCCAAGCCCCACACAGCAATCCTAGTGTCCTGGGGTTAGATGGGAAGAAGAGGGGATATGGTCACCACAGAGAGCAGTCTACTGGTGCTCTCCCCTGAAGAGTCAGACTCCAGCCAACCAGGCTGTGGACTGAGGAGAGAAGGACCCTGCTAATCCCACAGGGGAGAGACTGGTCCTGATGGAGAGCTGTGAAGGGGGAGCTGGGAGAAGCCAGTGCAGAGAATGGGGGTTGAAGGGGAGCAGGAAGGAGGTCGCCAATAAGGGAAGCTAGGCCAGATCTTCCATCAATGCGAGAGGGAGGAGCAAGCTGGGAGTTGTGGGGGTGGGGTTGCCCGGCTTGGAAGCAGAGGAGCCCAAAGGGGTATGCTTTGTGTGTGGAAGGGGGAAGAGAGAGTGGGCAGGCAGAGGGCTGGGCAGCGGCTGGGCTGAGAGTGACGCAGCAGACAAAGCCACCAACCCTGGCTCGGTATTTTTAAACTGTGTGTGGGTGGCAAGTGGAGGCGGGGACTAGAAGGGGGGCTCTTCTTGAGGGAGGAGCAGGGAGGCCAGCTTCCTGTGTTCCCCCTGATTTGGCTACCAGAAAGCCTAGGGGGCCTTGGTAGGGTGGGTGGGGCCTGGGAGGGGACCAGGCTTGAATGGGGGTGGCAGAGCCTGGGGAGGGGGGAGGGGGAGAGGTCAGAGCCAAACCGCCCCCGCAGCTCCTGACAGAACCAGAAATTCCAGCAGAACGGAGGCGGGAGAGACAGAGAGAGAGACATACAGAGACAGAGAGCTACACACAGCCAGAAAGGGGAGAGGGGCTGCACACCCATGGGTATGGCACCCCCCCATACGTTTGCACTGGGGCAGAGGCAGTAATTCAATAACCTGAGCTCGTCTTCACAGCTTTGTCTGCCCGTTTCTGTTCCCAAACCCTGCTCTCTCCAGCCTTCATCTTTCCATTCTAACTGATCCCTTTTCTCCCCACAGAGTTTGAGGAAGGGCTGCTGGACCGCTGCCCAGCTCCAGGACCCCATCCCGCTCTGGTGGAAGGTCGCAGGAGCAGTGTGAAAGTGGAGGCTGAGGCCAGCCGGCAGTGAGGGGTAGACTGGTGTCCTCAGACCCAGGACCCCAACTTCTGGTTCACACAGATCCCACTTTCTTCACCCCTGGAGCCTAGTCACAACCCTGGATCCTTCCGCTGCCCTTCTCCTGCCTCCCCATCTGCTCCATGGACATAAGACTATGGGGCTTCAAGCAATAATGAGGAGGGGTCTGGCGAGAGGACACTAGGAGGGTGCGTGGTGCCCCTCACCCCTACCCAGAGCCAGGGGCAAGGACTTTGCCTCCAGGGAATTTGGGTTTCTCCCTCCTTCATAGAGCACACCCCCATTCTCTAGGTTCACACTAGTGGTGTGAGCATTGGACTCAGTTTGGACATGGGGGAAAGTGGGACTTCCCTGGGAAGGTCTAACAGTTAAAAATGGCAGCATTTCACCCCCAAACTGGGGGCCTGGGAACACTGGACTTGCTCCTGCTCCCCGTCCTTCCCCGTTTTTGTGCTTCTAGTTGGTTTCTTTAATTTAACAAGTATACAGTTTGCCCCCCTTTCCCAGCTCTCCTTTACATCCTCAGCGGTTCTTTCCCTCCTGCCCTGGGGGGGGGGGGCTGGGCAGTGGATGTGAGACCCCTTCACTGGCCCCCAACCCCCTCAGGAGGCCTGGGTCAGACTCAGGGTCTCCCCCAGCTGGGGGTGAGGCTGCAGTACCTGTCTGAGCAGTTAAGAGCACCTTTCTTTTCAGATTGTGTACAGTAGATTATTTATTTTGTTATTTTGGAATAAAATTTATTTTATGGCTTAGGATCTATAGTCCCTCCTTATGAGGGAGAAAGGGTGGCATGGGATGGGGAGTGAAGGGAAGATGGCAGTAGGTGGGAGGCATAAAAGATGCAGTGGGCAGGACCCCTACTGTACTGAGGGCCACGAGGCTGGGCCTGGACTCTGCCCCCCTTTCTCAGGCAGCATTGGAGGTGTTGAACCACGTGCAGATGTCACTACCACGTAGAGCCATTTGGACGTCATGCTCAAAACTGAGTACATCTGTGTTAGCACATGTCAGAGAGGCCAGCACACTCACTAGTATTTGTGCAATATCGTCTGTCCTCATAAATTGTGTTCTCAAAGAAAGATTGACACATGTTTCTATGTGGTCATAACACAACTTATTTGTGGGCCTTCTATACCTTAACAGGCCTCAGGTACACACATCTCACACAGCTGTATACAAACTCTGCCATTGTCCTGCCTAACCTCATACATGTACCGAAATCTCCATCTGGCTGACAGGAATCTAGAGCTTTGGGGGATTTTTTAATCTGGGCAAAACCCTTGTCAGTAACTGTGTGTCCAGACCCCTTCTCTCTTCCCAACCAGGGTCCCCTGAACTGCTTCCCCATTCTGCAGGGCTGGACCCAGTTCCCTCTCTCCCTGGCCTCTAGTGCAAATGGGTCTGCGTGTTTCCACATACGTGTTTGGGGCCCTGGCTTGGAGGGTAGAGAAGCCCTCTGTGCCCTAACCTGTGCTCCTGCCAAGCACCCCTCCTGCTCAACACCACCTTCCAAGGCAAGCTGTGTGCATGTGTGTTCTCTGAGTGCAGGCATGTTGGGGTGTGTCTCACTTTGGAGCCTGAACTTCCCTTCTAGAGCTGGAAGGAGGTGGAAGGGGGCGGGATTTGTGGTGGGAAGAAAGACGTGGATTGGCTCCACCCACCATGCATTCTGATAGTCTTTACTCCTGACTGAGGAGTAGATGGGGACAGGAGGACACCCTCCCCACCTGCAGTTTGGCAGGAGCATAAGCAGGTGTCCAGAGCAGGTCCATGGGGTATAGAAGAGCTGCTTCGCTGGGCTCCCTCTCCAGCTGGGATCACCAACTGTGGTTGGCCCTTAGGTCCAGGTGGGACAGTGAGATCCCAGATTGCCCATAGAGGGAGGGCTGCAGGAGGGACTGAGCCCCCAAGGACCCCCCTCCTGACTCCCCTTGCCCTTCCAGGAGAAGCTTGGTGAGGTCCTGTTCCGTGGGAGGCAGGAGAGGAGGGAACATGTCTTCACCAATCCTGCAAGATGGAGAGAAGCCATGGAGTAGGTGTGATGTCCACTCCCCTAGCCTACCCAGCCACCACCCCCAGGCCAACACTCACCAGGTACCCTGAGGAAACCCTCCCACTGGCTGGCTCAGGCAGCTGTCTTCAGCCATGGTCACATCTGTGCAGAGCAGGGGCTCAGGGTTGGACACAGTGTGCTTCTGAGGCTGGCACTGGAGCAGGCCCCTGCCAGGAACCAGGGCAGGAAATAAGGAGGGGCCAGGGTAGGGTCAGGCAAGAATGGGAATATGGAGACAGGAGGGGCTTTGTCACTCACTGCGGGTGAGGCTGGTCAAAGGGCAGGCTCATCTGGTTCAGGCTTGGGGGGATCTGCAGGTGAGGCCTAGAAGCAGGAAGGAGCACAATCATAGGCAGGATGGATGATAAAGGCAGGGTAAGGCAAAGTCAAGACCACTGAGTGAGAAAACAAGCTCCAGGTCCTGATCCTGACCACTTAGATGCTCATGACTGCCTGGCCTTGGGCAAGCTAGCTCTATGCGGTCAGTCTTCTCATCTGTTAAGATGAGGAGTGGGGGCTCACACCTGTAATCCTAGCACCCTGGGAGGCTGAGGCAGGTGGATTGCCTGAAATCCGGAGTTCAAGACCAGCCTGAGCAAGAATGAAACCTTGTCTCTACTAAAAATAGAAAAACTAACCAGGCATTGTGGCAGGTCCCTGTAGCCCCAGCTACTCGGGAGGCTGAGACAAGAGGATAGCTTGAGCCCAAGAGACTGAAGTTCAGTGTGAGCTGTGAACCACGGCACTCTATCCAGGGCAACAAAGTGAGATTCTGTCTCAAAAAATAAGGGGGGAGGGCTGAAAAGTCCCTGTTGCACAAATATGCACAGTGACATGGGGTTCAGGTCAACACAGCTTGGGAACAGCAGGCTGCACTGCCAAGGGTCGGCGGTCAGCTCCATCTAGGCTGTGTAGGTGCTCTCTGAGGCTCCCACCATGAAACTGCCTAGGAACTGCTTTCTCAGAACGTGCCTGTTGTTAAGGGACACATGACACAAACACTTGAATTTTTTTTTTTTTTTTT